TAAATAGGCAAGACAAATAAAAATAGATTATTTATATTCAAACGATCCAATAAACTAAAGAAAAAAGTATGTCTTTTCTAGGTAACTATAAAGTCTGGTTCAAAATATTAATCAGGCTAATATCATCATCGACGTATTTTATCGACAATTATAAAACGGAACTTTCGTTATAGTATCGTCATCATTTGTGAAACATACAACACGAGTTGGATCATACATTCGATCTTCAATTCCATTCTTTGCATTATATGGAGTTAATTCTATGATGGAAATGAACGATAAAAGAAAAAAAACAGATTTTAGTGAATATAAATTTAATTTAAATGATTAAATTTACTGCTATCAAACTGTAAAATTTTTTGACATGCTGCTTGGAATGTTTGTCCAACCAATTCAGGCCATTCTTTACGTCCGGACATTATTTTGTAAGTATCTAAAGCACAAATCAATCGATTTCAAAGTAAAAACTCTTACGATTCTTTGATAAAGTTCTTCTGTTATATCTTGAAATGTTTTCAACATTTTATATGAAAATAAAACGGAGGATCTCTCAACTTATCCTTTGTTTGTATGAATAGAGAGAGAAGCGTAGAAAGAAAATGGAAAGGAAAGCGTTGTCGAGCAATGAAATCGGCCTCCTCTCAAAGTTGAGTTTATTATTTTCCGAATAGTCAATCCAAGTGTAAGATGTAGGTTACCGTTTAAATTATACCATTAGACTTCATTTCGGCTGCATGCGACTAATTCAAAACCTGATATTATCGATCTCCTATAGTGTCATGCAATGTTGTTTTTACGTGCAAAGTTTCTTTCTCTTCTTCAGCTCTGTTAATTTGAATATTATATCAAATAGAAGCTCTTTCTTTTCTCTATCAAACGATATATTGAAGTATGACAAAAAAAAATATTCTTTCCATTTTTCTGTTAGATGACATTGTTTGCTTACACGTACAATATGAGGACATTGATGAAAAAAAAGGAAGGGCATCAATTTAGCTAAAAGAAATTGGAGGAAAGAATAGCGAAAAAAATATCAGAGGAAGAAATGTTGAACAAAGTTTATTTTGAGATTCGCGACCAGCAATATGAAAATATTTTATTGCATACAAAAATGTGAGAGATGTATAAGTACACCAACAAGACGGCATGTTTTCTTATGTGAATGGAGATGTGTGATGTTGGTGTCGATGTGAGATTTGGGTGTGAATATCAGTCTTCGTCTCACATTGATACTCACACCCTACTCTTAACAACGTCACTTGATGACATCGGGAATATTCTCAACATTTTGTAGGGCAATATATTTCTTTGCCATTTTTATACGATCGACATTTTTTTTCGTTACTTTTTCTTTCGGATATATTACTCAATACCGATAAAACTCTCTCACTATTGAAATGTAAAAATAGCGATCTACTTTGAAATATTTATCATTCGATAGGTTTTTTAAAGCTCTACAAAATGATATTATTGCGTTGAGCCTAACTTATGACCAAGACACTTTAATTAAATGCACAATGTTCATAAGCGCCAAAAGTTGTCGTTTTTGACTCATACTTAATCGATTTTGGTCAGAATAATCAGGCTTTCTATGAAAACTGATAATAGTTTTTGAGTCAGCATCGAAAACTGAGTCGATCTACATGCATCACAAAGTCTTACAACAACTTTTATGTTCGTCCACAAAAATCAATCCCGAAGTTCCTCTCAGGATTACATCAAAAAATAAAGTCAATCAAATCAACACTTTGACTTTGAAGAGTCGCTCCTAAGTGTTTGAAGATCTACAAAAAACCCAAAACGACACATAAATAAATAATAAACGTGATGTTTTAACTGATTTTATGTTTTTATGTAACTCTATGAAATGTTGACTCCAAGAACATTATTTGTTTTGATACAAAGCTTGATTCTTCTGACTAAAATCTATTAAATATTAGCAACAGTATCATTTTGTAGAACTTTGAAAGTCTATCGAGTGATATATAGTTAAAAGTGAGTCGCTGATTTTCATAGCTCTATAGGGAGGAAGTTCTCTTATGGGCGTCCTTCATATTATACGTTTAAGCGAACAATGTCATCTAAGAGAGAAATGGGAAATAACAATTTTTTGTCACACTCCTATATACCGTTCGATAGAGGAAAGAAAAAGCTTTCATTTGATATAACAGTCAAATTAAAGAAGCTGAAGAAGGAAAAGAAACTTTACATGTAAACACAGCATTGCATGACACTATAGGAGATCGATAATATCGAGTTTTGAATCAATCGCGCGCAGTCTGAATGAAGTCTAATGGTATAATTTGAACGGCAACTGACATCTCACGCTCGGATTGACTATTCGGAAAATAATAAACTCAACTTCGAGAGGAGGCCGATTTTATCGCTTAATAATCCACCTCATTTGTAAGCAAATAACATTTGACTATTTCCATCATCGTGTTGGAGAGTAAATAGATGAAGAAACTATTTATGCAGTATGCAGCTAAAAATATAGACTACTTTAAACCAAGATAAGACAAATTCGAGCATATTTGAGGAAAAAGTTTCCAGTATGATTCGTAGTGGATTCTGATGTGAAAAAAAATACAACGGTGTGCCATAGAAAGGCCGAAGAGGGAAAATGTCTAGTGGAGAAAAAGCTTGAGAAAAGATATCGAAAGAAAAATTGTCGAAATAGAAAAATATTGGAAATTTAAACGTACAATATGTTCTTTGTTTTTGGCGTAGGGCATGTAGACCAGGCGTACAGAGCTAGTGGTATGGGTCAACACACATTAGGTAAAATGTTTCAAGTTTCGAGAAATTTCGGAAAATTATTGGCTGTAAAAAAATGTTTCTCGTATACAGGGTGTCGCAAAAGTTATGACCAGTTAGTAAATATAAATAACTTTGCTATTGATGAAGCTTAATCAAAACCTTTTTTAATTCTATTTGAAACAGAAGATTAGTAAGTTCATCAAAAGAATAGAAGATGCAACACTTTTGGCTACAATTTAAAAATTAGGCTTGTTTCGATTTTATCACCAATATGCACCGTTCTTTTTTCAATATTTACTTGAATTTCTATCGTTATTACAGACTTTAAATCATCCCAATATTTGATTATTGCTATTTAATCATTTATTTGGCACAAATAAAGAGAAAATAGATTGATTAAGCTTGATCAATAGTCGAGTTATCTGTATTTATTAAGTGGTCACGACTTTTGGAACATCCTGTAGTAATACGAGCATAAGCTTCGAGTGTGGATGTGAGTTTGGATTGATGGGTGAAAAAGATATCAAAAAGACACTATCCTACTAACACCTACACTCCAAATCTTCCACTCTACACTCACATCCTACAACTCCAAACCCATACCCATCTGCTTTCACTATACATCTATTATAACTTTATGTGATATTCGTGTTGTTTATTTTGTAGAAACTTTAAATAATTGGATTTTGTTACATTAAAATATCAATTCACTTCAACTATTTACTATAAATAAAGATAATTTCTTTGTCCAGACTGAAATTTTTGGTAGAATGATTGCATGACAATTGGACAACAGTCATCCAGTCCTCTTGGAGACTTCCTTTCCGGCATATTGATTATAATTGTATCATTTGTGGATGTCAGAGTCGATGCTCTCAATAACAAAAAAACAGCTATGATGTAACTTGCGGAAAAAATGATATTATAATGTCTGCCTCTACACACTAACTGCAAACTATACAATCTGAAAAGTAATGGGTCGATAAGCTTTATTGTAAAAAAAAAGAAGCAAACACTACTTCAATGCAAATCTCAACAAGAACACTTCATCTATATTATGTTCCGTTTGATCAAGATGAATACTGCCAAAAAATAACAAGTACACTGTAATCAATATTTTTATCCTGAATACTTGATCGCTTGGAAAAGATACGGATTCGTGAGGTCGGATATTAAGCCATCCTCAGTTTTTGAATAAGTTTTAGTCTAATACGCATATCATATGAGAACCGTATAGGCGTGGATGCGTGTGGCGCATGAGTGCAAGTCTTCTTTTCACAAACATCCATACCCACACCCTTTTGGATTGCCCTAAGTATATAGCGAGAACAACGAATCGCTATCCTGTCTCACAGGTCATGACAGATAGATATGGTACTTTCTTTTTGGACGGCTGAATTTATATGATCGAATGAATATTTATAGGCGTATATTATGGAAATATTCACACCAGAATGCAAATCTTGAAAATGTTGAAAACAGAAAGATTTATTCAACAACAACACATGTCGGTAGCTAAAGAGTAGAATTGCAGTATAAACATAACTGTGGTTATCAGTCAACCTAACTGCCTTCACCCATTCTTTTCTCTTCAAGCTTTACGATAAGTGCAGAACATGGAGAAGATAAAAAAAAATAAAAGGAATGATGAAGAGAAGAAACTGCATGTATATAGAATCGTTCGAATACTATAGAATATAATTTCTTATGCATCACTCTTATATCCTTCAACAATGGAAAATGTAATTTTTAACGACTCATTCTGACATCGGGCGATGCGGTTGGTGCGTGATCGAATTGCGCACTATGTCAATGATTAAAGTGAAGATAACTTTGTCCGCGTGATCACGCATACAAATTGCTATCTCATGCTGCCATCGAACATTTTATAAAAGAGGTGGATCTCGAATAGTTACATACAGTCAAAAAAATGACATTCGACAACGACTCCAGCACTACCCGTGATGTGCATACTACATTAATCTACAGTAAAGCCCAACCTTCCACCAGTGTATCAGAACATTGGTTCATTAACATCAATGAATCGAGTGATGGAAAGCGCGAAAAGAATTTTGAAGACGAATCCATTCAGACTACCGTACGTGACATACGAGGTCATGAATCGGATACACATATCGACGTCACTGGCTTCCAAGCTCTTCATTCGCCAAGCACAGTCGATGCCGATCTCATTCTCAATGGGACAGAGGAACAAGTAAAGGAAGCATATTATGGTGAGGTCGAACAATTACTTAAACGTGTCACAGGCGCCAGTCAGGTTGTTTTCTTCGATCATACAATACGTAGAGTGAGATCAGATCAAGTGAGCGATTCTCCATCGAATCGAAAACCTGTGCAACGGGTACACGTCGATCAAACGCCCATAAGTGCTCATACCCGAGTGAAACGGCATGCATCCAACGTTCCATGGAAGCGCTTTCAATTGATTAATGTCTGGCGACCATTGAAGAACACTGTATACGATTATCCACTCGCTGTGGCTGATTTTCGTAGTATCGATGTGCTCAACGATCTTATTCCAACAACACTCGTCTATCCGCCTCCGGTGCCTAACGGAGAAACCTATTCTGTTGTTTACAATCCTCAACATCGATGGTGTTACTGGTCAAAGATGACGCCAGACGAGGTGATGCTCTTG